GGAATTGGTGGGAATGGTCTGGAATGAGTGGGAATTGGTGGGAATCGTCTGGAATGGCAGGGGATTGGTGGGAATGGTCTGGAATTAGTGGGAATTGGTGGGAATCGTCAGGAATGACTGAGACTCGTTTGTTCGATATAGATTTCATGATGTTATATATATATATATATATATATATATATATATATGTGTGTGTGTGTGTGTGTGTGTGTGTGTGTGTGTGTGTGTGTGTGTGTGTGTGTGTGTGTGTGTGTGTGTGTGTGTGTGTGTGTGCATGTTAACATATACTGCGCTTTACACGATTTTACATTTATGTCCAGATCCACATAGTCGCTGTTTGTGAGTCACGCATAAATCTAGGTAAGTCATCCCTAAAATCAACTAGACCGAGAAATCTCGCAAACCAGAAAAAATACGCAAAAAACTCCCGTGAAATTTAAACCACAAGTAAACCGTGATGTGCAGGTTGACCAAACACACCCAAAAGCTAGATAACATGTCCGGAAGAGTGGTTTTAAGCATCGATTCTAGTATGCAGATTCGTTAAAATCTCCCGCCCCTAAAGAAAACGCGATGCGCCGCGTTCGCCGCCTCGCCGCCTCTTCGAACGCGGCCCAAGGCGTGGTCCCAAGTCACGTGACCTCCTCATCCCGACCACAAACCTTCCATACCTTTCCTAGAATGAACATATTTCATACCAACGAAGCTCTGATAATTCAAGAATATACTATTTTTCCTCCATGATAAGCACGTATATGAAAAATTAAAACGCATAGACTCCCCCCACCGTGGTAAATGAGGCTTTCCATGAGTCGGAAGTCGCGGTCGAGGCCAGGCACCCGGACAGAGTGTGTCCGAGGGTAGTACGAGCGACTTGTTTACTTGACTCACGTTCGGTTCAGGTTCCCTTCGGTTTCCTTGTTCGCTTTATTTTCCGTCCGAAAAATGGGTCCTGGAAGGGTGGTCGTCGTCGTGGGAGTCCTGGCGCTACAGATGATCGCCCTGACGCAAGGTGAGGCGAGCTGGTTGGCGAAATAAGGAAGAAATGAGCGAGTTTCTTGGGAGACGTTGGCCGGAAGGGAGGAGACGCTGGACACGAGTTTGAGAATTTGTTTTTGTTATTTAATGTCTTTTTGTGTTTGTTTTGTGCGATTTTTGTGTGTGGTTTTCGAGGGTATTTGGAAGTGGAATGACGATGTCTTCTGCATGGAATGGTTTTGCTGTTTGTTCTTATGGTCATCAAATCGCGATGTTATGAAAGGTATCCATTTCATCAAATTTGAAATAAGGAAAAAAAAAATGAGAGAATAATGAAGGAAAATATGGTATACGTTTTTTTATTTTTTTGTAGTTTATTGATTATATACCTTAATGACAACATATGCATGCGAATATTTAGTGTTTTAAAGACTCGTAATACGTGACCGTTCATTAACACCACCTGGTTTCGAATAATTTCCTATATTGACATTGAAGTAATGACGACATGCAAATTAAGAGATTTCAACAGTAATGAAAGTGATTGTGAACTTTAGAAATCCCTAGCTCGTTGAAGCTATTTTCTGTATGCTGCAACTTGTAAAAATATGTTGGTGCTTAGTAAGTCAAAGTAATGGTAATGTGAGTTGATAGCCTTTTATGTTAGTAGATATTGCTATTCCATAGAAGTTGCTAGTAGTAGAAGAATATTGATAGTAAATGGTGCCTTCTTTTCTTCTCATTTCTTTTAGAAATAAAAGAATACCAGATTGATACACTATTGTAGTATCACCATGAGATATATGTATTAATGGGTGTTAATACAGCAATACCTTTTTCTGCATGGGTAATATTTGGTGTAACTGCTGTATTATATTTTCTACTATTTATGATTTTTAGATATGCTATGGTTTGCCTAACAGAATTATGTCCATACCTGTTATGATGTGTTTGTTTATTCTGTTTATGAGGATAAACAAGATATTGGTTAAAGAATGAAATGGACCAAGGTTGATCATGATGATATAGTTGGGATAAGGAGGGGGTGCTTGGTAAAACAAATATTCTAAGAAGTAAGAAAAGTCTAAGGAAATAAACACCATCCTTGAGGGAAAATTTGCATATATGGAGGAATTATACCAAGTTCAAAGGCCTTTCGTCAAGAATTTACCAACAGTTTAGGGCTGTTAAAGTTATAAGATTGCAAGCCACCTTTCTTTGACAGACTTACAGCTTGCATACTGGCCCTTTTTCTCTGTCTAACAAAAGGCTAAATGCATTAGATCAACTCCTTGGGGTTTGCATAACATCTTCTTTGGCTTCCTAATGTCTCCCAAGAACATTTATAGTTATTATATCAATTTAACATGGGTCTTACCAGTGTTTTTGATAAGTTATGATAAGTTTCATTTACAGTCATTATCAACTTCAGTTTTTACACCTGTTTCCTAGTATGTATGTTGAAGAATATTTTGTTTGTTTGTTTTTGTTTTGTTTTTCTTTTGTAGTTGTCATACATTCT